CAACTCCCAATCAACTCAGTGTTTTTTTTTTCTCAAAACCCAGGACCCAAATAAAAGACCATCTATTGACCCAGTTGATAGGGATCAGCCGTAGTTGTGAAAGCTGTGGCTGGGGGTGCCTCCGACCATGCGGTGACCCTGGGAGTGCTGAACATTTCTCAGGACCTGTAGGTGGTTTAGGTCAACTGGAGACAGGGGTCTTACCTGGAATATTCAGTGGTGGGTGCAGAGAGGGTGTTCAGCAGAATGGAGGGCCTGGTCCCACGATAGAATTCAGTTTGGAGCCCAGGGATGCTCAGTGACCCTTGAAGAGGGGAGAGGGCACTCAGGGGAACCTGTTCCTAAATTTCAGCACCAAAATGAAGGGAAAGCGAGGAAGGAGAAACAGGTAAGTGAGAAAGATGGAGACCAGGCAAAGATACACGTGAGAGTTTATTAGTCAGAGCTGACAAATAAAGGCCATCTCTCTATAGTGGAGAGAGGCAAAACAGGCTTGGATTCTGGGACTTCTATGGGGCAGGCTCAGGAATCAGAGCTGGGCGGGTCCTAATGTGCATGGTTAGGGTTTGGGTTGGTATGAGGGAGTGGTGAGCCTTTCTCAGAAAGGCCCTTGGATGGGAAAGCAAAACTTTTTCCTAAAAATGGTGGGTGTCACTTAAGATGGCCATCCAGATACTAAGCAAAGACCTTATAGACCTTATACCTAACTTGCCTTATTCCAAAAAAGATTTAAAACTTCTGTTATTTTTTGACATGTGACCACTTGATTGACTCACTTCTCCTTTATGAATGCTTCTTTTCTTCTTCTTCTTTTTTTACTTTTGTATTCCTGATTATTCAAGAAAATATTTCATTGTAAAAGGTTGCCAAATTTTTTAGTAGAAATGTAAAATAGTGCAGCCACTATGTAAAAGAGTTATTCAAAAAATTAAAAAAGGAATTACCCTATAATTCAGCAATTCCACTGATGTATTGCATGTATTCAAAATAGTTAAAAGCTTTTTTTGAAGAAATTTATGCAACTGTGTTCATAGTCCCATTTTTCATTACAGCCCAAAGATGAAAGCAACCCAAGTGTCCACTGAAGGATGCATGGACAAGCGAAGTCCTGTGTATCTGCAATGGAATATCATTCTGCCTTAAAAGAGAAATTCTGCAAGAAGCTACAATATGAATGAACCTGGAGGACATTATGCTAAGTGAAATAAGCAAATCATACAAACAGTCCCACTCTGTGGCCTGGCCACCTGGACCCTATTGTCCACATCATTAGCTCCTTATTTCATCACAAGATGCCTTGCTGGACCCCAGGAAGTTCCTTCTATCATTTATTCTCCTAACTTGGTGTCAGAGAGGAACAGATATCTCTAAGGATGGGTCTGAGGAGTTCCCAGAGAGAAGGGGAAACTGAACTTGGGACCAGTGGGGGTCTTGCCATGCGTGATGAAAAAGAATTTCAGCAAGTGCCAGTCAAAGACATAGACAGAGGTTTATTTAGGAAAGTAGATGTATATTTGAGGGAGAAAAGGGGCAATCTCAAGAGAGAGATGCCTTCTGGGTAAAGCAAGGAATAATATTCAAGGGAGAATTCTAGTAGGCTATCTCTAGAGGGAGAGCTAGCAATCCATTGATGTGTGGTGTTAATATTTATAGAGGAATGGTGCTAGAGATGGACTAGAGATGGAGGCTGGATGGAGCTATACAATTTCATGCTGGCTTTTCCTGCCCTTGCACACTGCCCTCATTTTACAAGGGCATGGGTCAAGAGTACAATTGTTCATGTTTGCTTTTTGCGTTTCAATGGTTCATGGGTGTTTCCTGCATTACAGTGATTTACGGTCATTCCCTTTGAGCCTCAGTATCTCTCTCTCTATTCTCCAATTTCTATCTCATTCGGAGACTCACTCAGGTACCAGAGGTACTGCTAGATGCCCTCTCAGGACTCAACAGAAAAGTCAGAGTTGGCGCCTCAGCCTCCTTCAGCAACCTGAACAGAATTTCAATGTCACGGTTGGACGAGTTCTGGCAAGTGTGCACCGGTGTGACCCACACCCTGTTAAGATGCAGAGCATTTCTATCTCCCCAGAAGGTCTGCCTTCCCAGTCAATACTCTCCTCCTCAAGGCAACCACTACTTGGATATTTTATTCCATCAGAAATCTGAGTGGTGAGGGTAGGGGTGTGGGGAGATGGCTTTTTGCTGAGTATTCACTTCAAGCCATTGTTTATGCTGGGACCTGGGACCTATTAAATGGGGAAACAAAAGCAACAAATAACTTCCTTTGTTTCTCCTTGCATTTTAGCTAAAGCTTCCCTTTCCTGGGACAGGGCAGGGCGAGGTCTAGTCTGAGAGAGGGTGAAGGAAAATGACACATTTAATAAAGGCACACTCCCAGACCCCCACATAGTTCATATCTCAGTCTTCTACTACCTCCCTATTGTTGGTTCTTTTCCCAAGTCTCTAATTATGAGAATTTTTCAAGCCTCTGTTCTCTACTCTCTGTTTCTGCTTATAAAACTGATCTCTTACTTGTGGTCCAATTAATAAGTTCATGGATCAGATTATAAGAGGCTGTGCTAGGCCTTGAGGTGCAGATAGTACTAACATTGTATCTAGTCCCTCTGGGAGTTAAGTTTGGTGGTAAGACCAACATGTTAGGAATTAAGTTAGAGCCACCCAAATCAAATCTCCCCCCTGTGATTCCTTTCTTGGTGACTAGAACCCAACTACCCCATTGCAACCACAGAACCCTGCAAGCCTTCCTTCTTCCTTCACTAACCTCGGTGCACACTGGACCAATCAATCAATTCTACAGATCTTGCCTCTATCAAAGTTCTCTAATGCACCCCTCCTCTCCATCTTGGTTGCTGTGAACCTGGCTCAGGACACTTTCTCTTGACCATGACCTTCCAGCTGCCACAGTCTGACCCAGCCAATTCCCTCAGTCCACATGATCTACAGGAGAGTGCCCCCAGTGCCTCACATCACAAACAAAGGATCCCAGAACTCCTACCCTGCCTACCTCCCAGCCTTTGTTCTGGCTGCCTGTTCCATTTACTCCAGCAATGCCCTCTGCCACAGCTCTCCTGCATCATGAACCTCTTCGGATGGCTTCTTCTAGCCATTGTTTAGGAACCCCTCAGCCATTATACATGCCAAATAAACGTGTACCTTGTCTCTTGCATCCCAGTATCTGTGATTTTGTTTCTATGACAACAGTGCCCTTCTCTCACTGTGTTTAACTATGGTCTCTCCCGGTGGTCTGAGAGTCCCTTAAAGTCAGGGACCTAGCCTTACTCATTTCTGTGTCCTCAGTGCCTGGAACAGTGTAGGAGCACAACACATGACCTCCTATGGGGAAGGTGTTGTGACTGTGGGTGTCCATTTCACTGTCCAGGAAAGCGAGAGATTAAGCAGATTTCCCAAGATATAACAGGAAACTGCAGAACTGGGATTTAAATTCAAACCACCAGGTTCCAAGTGGACTCTTAATCTCTGTACTCATCTGCCCCTCAATGTACATGTGTTTATTGAATGAATGATCACCTCTTTTCACCCCTCCCTATATCCATAGCCAAATTAAGCGATTCCTTCCCAAGAGCTTCCTTTGCCCACATCTACCCTCCCCTGCTCCTCCAAGGTCTTAAAGAAACCTGAACTCTTTGACTTTCATCTCTTTTCTTTTCTTTGCTCCCCAACTCTTCATTCCTTCATCATGTCTAGGTGCTTTGTTTTGTTTTTCTTTGGAAACATATTTCAGATTCACTCCTTCTCCTCCGTTCTCATCTGCTATCATCCTGGTCTGACCCTTATCATTTCAGGCCAAATGACCACAGCAGCTTCTGGACTGGTGTCCTTGACTTCACTACCTTCCTCCTCTAGGACCTTGACATTTACATGCATTTTAAATTGAACCTTTATTATAATCAATGAGCTATCTATTATTGTTACATTTTAAAGATGAGGAATTGAGCAATAGAGTGCAGGTTCCAATGGTGTTTGTGTAATTATTCTGTAAGCTCCAAAGAGATTGCTGACCTTGGGCAAGACACTTAATCTTCCAGTCTCAAATTCCTCATTCATAAAATGCAGATAATAAATAACAATAATTACCTCATGGTGAGAGTAACAGGATAACACTTAGAACCCTGCCAAATGCAAAATGTAAAGTGCTTGGTGATTTTCAGCAATTCAAGTTCCCATCCCCCCACCCACAAACTCACATCTAACTTATGAATTGACTTATCATTCTGGACAAAATGCTTCCTAGAGCGCCTTGACTCATAGCTGAGAGGCAGCTATTATACCCTTCTTTGTCTCTCAAAGGTGCTCTCTCCTGGGAAATACCACAGGCTGTATGAAAAAGTTACTCAAGCTGTAATGCACTGCAAAGAACACATACCTCATCTGGTGGAAAATGCACAGACTCTGTGGTCCTGTGTGACCACAGATCTTGAAACCTCTCTGAACTTACTTGCTCACCTGCAAAATGAAAATAATAATACCTTCCTCACAGAGTATTGAGATAATGCATATAAAACCTTTCAGCACACTGCTCGACCTACATAAGAGTTGTGCAGCCTTATCATGGTCAGACAGTGTGTATTAGAGTGCTTTATTAGAAGACGAGGATGACATGGACTTATAAATCACCTATGATCTAAATCAAGTACTAGAAATAGAGGAAAGGCAAAAGGATTATGCAAATCAGGCACAGCAAAGGCTTTCCAGAAAACCTGAACGCCTCAGTCTGAGGGATCGGGCAGAGCCTACTCGCTGAAGCTGGAGCAGAGAGGCGGGAAAAGACCGCCCCACTACCCTCGAGCCCCGCCCCCAGAACCGCGTGACGCTTGCCCCCCGGCCTGCCGACTGGGGGCCGGGCCTGCGTTGGTCACGTGAGCGCGGGTGCGGAAGTGGAGCTGGGGCCGCGTTCGTGATTGGCTGCGGCTAAAGGTCTAGGGGCGGGGTCAGGCCTACAGACCAGCCAGGAGGAGCCGGGGGAGGAGGCTGCAGCGGGGGCTGGCGCCGGAGTCCGGGATTCGACCCGCCGTGCCGATCCAGGGCTGGACCAGCGACGGCCCGGGCGCCCCAGGCTCTGCGCGCGCGCCCGCGGCTCAGGGTACCCCAGGCCGAGGCGCCGACAACTCCTGGAGGCCCGTGGGTGGGCGGAGGGAGTCCAGAAGGGCGCGGGCGCCCTGTGCGTGGAGTGGCGGAGGGGGCCGGGACGCCATGTCCATGGAGGACCCCTTCTTTGTGGTGAAAGGGTGAGTGTTGGCGAGGGCTCCACTGGAGGAGGCGGTGGCGGTGGAGCTGCTGGCCACCCATGCCTCCCCGGTCTTCTTGCTGTAGGGAGAGGGGAGATAAGTTGAGGCTGGAGAGGGGACAGGGAAGGGTAGCCTTGAAGGCCATGACCAAGCGTCCAGAGACATCCCCTTCCCGTCCTACCTGGATTGTGGAACCCGGGTCCCCAACCGAGCACTCAGGGGGTCCCCTTTGGGGCTGTGCGCTGCGGTGTAACTTATTTGGGGATCGAGAGATTGTGGAGCTCTGCAGGTGTGGAAAGAGGACTGGGGACTGTCGTCGAGCCCCGATCCAGCTCCGAAGGAGGGAAAACAGCATCTGGGCAGGAAAAGGGAAATGGCCCTCCCGAGCTTTGTAGTTCTCGTGGACGGAGGTGAGCTCCATTGTCCATTGAGTTTGGAGCGCTCGCCCGCAGACCGGCGAGACCACAACGTGCCCAGAGGCGTCTGAGCACGTTTGCTGGGAGCCCGGCGGGGGCGGGTGTTGGCCGCGGAGGCTGGGGAGCACTGCACCGGAAGACGGCTCAGTTCAGTGGGGGAGTTTTCACTGAGTAATGTGAGGGGAGGAAAGCAGTCCTGCAGACTCGGTGCTGATGTTGGAAGGAAAACAAAATGACACCAGCCAAACTAAACTTTCCTCAGCTTTCTATGAGCAACCGGGATTTTCCCACAGTGCTAAAGGAAATGAGTGTTTCATTTTAACTCCTTGATTTTGTCCAGACCATTTGACAGGTTTCCCCCACCTCTTATTCTGCTTTATGGGATTGAACAACCTTATTTTTCCCTGGGAGCTGTCCTGACTCCCATCTTTGATTGCAGGGTTGTTTGGAGATAGAAACTTCATTTGCACTTGGTTGTAACAACTTTGTAGCCATTAAACAAATTCAAGAAAGATCGGTTCTCATTTCTTATTTCTAATAACTCTTCAGCTTTGTGTTTTGAATGTTAAACAAACCTAAAAAACCTGACAGCTGCAAAGTTGTTACAATCCAAGAAGAGGATTACTAATAACCATAAAGTGTCCCTCATTTTCAACTAGTTGCTACTACCTTCCTATATCTGTACTGGTAAAATCTGACCAATTAAGTTGTATGCTGTCAAATATGTTTTGTATTTAAGGGTTCCCCCAAAATTTCAGTGGTACTATAGATGAACTACTTTATTATTCATGATACAGTAAAATATATTCCAACTATTTCTTTTTTTTTTTTTTTTTTTTTTT